GGTTTTTATTTTCCGAGACTACGTTATCGATACTCGGCGGTTTAATTGAATTGAGTTTATTGCTTTTGATCTTCTTGGCCTGTTGATTGATTGATCTTAGATTCTGATTTACAACGAGAGTTGGAATTAGACTTGGAAAGAATTCATTGAATGAATTGATTAAGACTATTGAGAGATAGGTTAATCGGTTTAGGAACTGTGATAGTGATCGTTAATGCGTTTGATATTTTAATCTATTAGGTTGAGAGATCGATAGGTTAAATTATTGGATAGTGGATTTAGGACTTGAGAGAGCCAAATCTGATATTAGAACTTGAGATCCCCGATTAGAGTTCGATATTCGTAGATTCTTCATCCTTAGAAACAATCCCTGCGCGTTAAGGTTATCCCGAAGCTACGGTGGTTTATTTATCTGATTTTACTTAGTTAATTTATTGCTTTATTTTCGGTATTCATCTATTCCATCTGCTATTTCCTGATCTGGTTCTTAGTCGAGTCTTGTTCTTAGTGTTAACTATTCCCTGTGTTCGACCCTGGTACTACAGTTGATCCGTACCCTTGCGGTATTCGCTGTATCTAGGATTTTTATTACTTGAGCTTATTTACACACCTAGATTTGCGTTATCAACCTGAAAGTACGATGAGGAGCAAGTCAAGTCCGTCAGATCCTGCAGAGGCTGAGACTCGAGATCACGGTTAAGACATCTTGCAGCCAATTGGATGGCCTTCTAGGATCCTTTGATTGAGAACCGTCCTTCGAGACGATGATCAATCAGACAGCAGAATCTTCGTTTCTCTTCAAGGTATCGACAGGCCCACTCAACTAGGTTATGTTCACCACTTCGCCTGTTTTTGTCCATTGATCTTATACCAGTTTTCTAGAGATAACCACTTCAACATATGTTACTGAATTCATCAAGCATTTTCCACAATGACCATCTTCACTCTAGCAAAGAACACAATGTGCCAATGTCTCGGCACTCAGTGGAAAGCTACATTGATTCCGATGTAAACTCGAGAATGCAACAGAACACAGGCAACGAGATAACCGTGGAATCAGTAGCTGCACATTTATTTCTCCGACAACATAATTCCGAAACTATACCATATTGTATACTTGTGCCGCTGGTGCTGACTGAACTATCCACTTTGGACCTTGAAGACAAGCAGCTTCTAAGGAAAATAAACTTGAACCAGCATCCACTTCCCTCTCCTTCGCCATCTAATCCCCAACGGAATCCGGACCAAACACCATTTCTTCTCACCTCCTATAAACCCTAAATTTCCAACATTTCCACCTCCGAGAAGCCCCAAAACGAGCACTGTAACAATAAACCCATGAAAATGACAGCTAAAGCAACTTATTATCGAAACCCAGATACGAGAAGCAAAAACCCATCTCCGGGAACCATCAAGACTATTCAAGAGATTGATAATTACAAGTAAAAGCTGTAAATTTTCATTTATCAAAAAAACAAAAAGCTGTAAATTTGTCAACAACAACAAAAAACAGGAACTTGCTCCAACCGAGAAAGCAAAGTCGGTATGGAAACAGGGATTTTAGCAAAATGGGCTTTGTCCCAAACCACAAACAGGATCATGCAAGAATGAAACACCGACCGCGGAGAAAACGCTTCAGTCAAGCGTTACAAAGTGTAGTCTCCAAATTCCGACGAGTCGAGGAGGGAGGATAAACCCTAGAAATCAAAACGCAGGGTAAGACCGATATAACGATGCCGAGAGCGAGAGCGAGCGCGAGCGAGAGAGAGAGAGAGATGCGTAATGAGTTGCGTGAAAGGAATGAAAGCGAGCGGTTGGCGAGACAATCTGGAAAGTGTAAACCCAAGATTCAAGAATCCTGCTACAAAAAATAATATATACAAAGATCCAAATTATCATAAAGTTTTATATCTCGTTAAATATGATTTCCTTGTGTTGTGTTTATCCATTAATCGACAATAAATAGAAAAATTAAAATATCTTAGCAGAATTTTATATATAGATGGATATTTGAATTTAATTAAAAAAATATTCTAATTCGAATTTCAATTGTTTTCGACAGCGTTCACTAATTTTATATTTGATATTTTAATATATAAAAATCGGAAATCATCCAATGTATTGATTATTACGTCGATAATTTATATGGAATTAATATTGCTTTTTTTATGGAATCAACCAATCCGTCTTACATGAAGTTATGGACGTGTTGGGTCAATTTAAAGCCCATGATCCAACAATAAGCAACTGCCATTTATGGGTCTGATCTATTGGGCTCTTTTTAAAAACAAGCTTCAACCAGTTTCGGTTTTGTTTGTCCGAAGAACGTACATCGGAAATGTCTTTCCAAATTATAATTAATTAAATATTAATAAAGATATAAAGACATATATATTCTATGCACACACGCATATATCTATATTTCTTTCCGTACCAGAGTTTTCTCATCTTCATATATACACGTACATACATTAATATATATATTCTTAGATACGTATATGAATATGCATATAAATATACATATTGCATGTCATGAAAGTTTTCTTCTTTTTTATTTTTTTTTTATATTTGACCAAAAGAACTCATCTTTTGCAAGAATGGATGATAATTCGTCATTTTCCTTACTTGGAAAAAAAAAAGCTAAACATTTTCTCTCGTAAATATATGCTATCGCTCTAATTTTGAAGGGTATCTTTATCGCTTTTTCTCATTTCAAACTTATGTGGGTGTGGAAATTGCCCTTTTATAAGCTTTGAACGTCAAAGTTAAATAAAACATGCTTGCAATCATGGGGTTTATGTGACGTGTTCAATTATATTTTCAGCATCTTTTTTGCCTCTATCAGATGCTTATTCTATGCAAATTACTTTATAAATCAACTTCATGAAAATTGACTGACGAAGATTAATAAAGTTAAAAACCTGTCAAAGGTTCATATTGAATGTAAAAGTTGGTGATAGGTAGAGAAATTACCTTGATTATGATGTTTTATTGGAGTCATTATGGAATTAATTCTCTGGTTAGTGGATATATATGGTTAGTAAATTGACAAGTTATGCAATTTTGGTGAGAGTCAATGAAATGGTGAAAATGATTTTTACAGATAAAGCTAGTTCCATTTGTTTAATATATAATGTACTAAATGGTACGAAAAATATATATTAAATTTTAAGTTTATGTTTTTATGATATTATTAGTTTAATAATTTAGTGGGGCATATCTCTAATTCTAGAAACAATTAATTAATTAATTCTAGACATGCTACTACTTCTAGGAAGAAAGACAAGTAAACGCATTGTCCGAAAATGTTCATCATATTCTTCCACTCCCATTAAAGCCTTAGAAACTTCAAACTTCATCATATTCAACGCTTAGAATCTAAATGCTTAAATGACCATAGTTAAATTAATAACCATAGTTAAATGGTATATTTCATCCACGGAATCGATTATTTGACGAGTTTGTTACAATTATGATTTCATTGTCGTATATATATCCACTAAAGAAATGGCTTTCGTCGAGTAGCTCTTGCATGTATTCATCTTGTGTATATATTTGTATAAATATGGCTCAAACTCTATAATTTTCGTTATACGGAAATGCTAAATGATTAAATAATGAGATGCTTTTACATTGAACGCAATGCGACATTTTTTTATAACACATGGGATGCGTTAGTCAATTTCAAGTAAAGTTTGTACTATACATAAGTTAATTGGACAATCCTTTAGCGGCAAAGCTTGAAGTGTGATCTTATATGCACGCATATACATGTCTGTGTATGTATACATATATAAAGTATATGTAATCATTATATGTATGTTACACTTTTCGACATACATACGTGTGTATCAATAATATAAATATATATATAGTAGTTGATAGTATAGGATAAACGCAATAAATGGGCACGATGCACTTCTATAGAACCCAATGTCTAGAAATTAAATGTTCGCATTGATGAATAGTTTCTATTTCCCGCAATTTTCCGGCCGTTTACTGACACGATAGAGTTCAGACATCACATCTCTGAATTTGTAACAATAGGGTTTTGTGCTCCCAAGTTTCGTCATTTACTCAATACATCGTATATATCTGTGTATATACGTACGTGTATATGTGTTATGTGTAGCTAGAGAAATACGTATATAACATATGCTGGATGCGGTTAAGTTATTTGGATTGTGGAATATAACTAATGGACAATTACTGTAAACTGACGTAAGATTAAACCCGTCTTTTCTTATATAACGAGGAAGATTAGATAACATAAGTACTTATATATAGATAGATACGTAGATGTATATATATATATATAGAGAGAGAGAGAGAGAGAGATCATGCATGTCATAATAGATGGATATCACATGAATAAGCTCCTAATGACGGCGGCTTCGGCACTATCTTCGTCGACAGAATCCAGAAGCTGAGACAAACGCTCGCTGAGGTTGTCCACTTCCCTGTGCAAGTTCCTTATGTAGTTGCATGTCTCCTGCAGAACTTTTGAAGCCGACACCTTCACAAAACAAACCCATGTATAAGAGAAAATTTTGAAGCCGACATACATACATATATATGTGTGTGTGATGCTGATGATGATGATGATGATGATGAATTGGATGCATGTAAACTTACACAACAAGACTTTTAGTGGGTCAAATTGAAACGTTAAGAAAAAGGGCATGAAAAGTCATCTTGTCCTTGATGTTCGGAGTCAAAAGTTTCGACTTCCTCTTTTCTTTTCGATAAAAAAAACAAAAATATTATTTATAAGTTTGGAAGCGACCCGTTCTCTTTTTGTTTTTCCCAATTCTTTCATTACGATGAATTCAAGTACCTTATTAGATCGACGTCTCTCACGGATTTCAGGTAAAAGCTGACGGAGCTTGCCCACGAGATCGATGATCTGATCATCGGAGATCCTCGGAGAGTTCGAAGACTGTCTTGATCTTCTGTTCGACATATCCTTTTTTGATTCTTGGTACAATGTGATATAAAAGAATAATCCAAATTATGAGAGCTCTCTCACTAGCCCTAGAAGGAATGGAGGTTATGGAAATACTTGGAAATGAGAGAGGAGATAAGCTTTAATATAGCTACTATAGCTTCTGAATTTTTTAAGAACAAAAGACAATTAATGTTACGAAGATACCAAGAAAAAAAACAGGAAAAAGCAAAGTCAGAAGAGAGGAAGAGATATGAGAAAGTGTTTGGGTGTTGGATACTCTAGGTCTCTATATATATATATATATAAATCAAACCAAGAGATAACAGAGATTTAAAGAGACGAAGGACCACAAGGGGAGAGGGAGAGGGAGAGAGAGAGAGAGAGAGAGAGAGAGAGAGACTAAACCTAGTCAATGATGTCATGGAGGGGGGGGGAGAGAGAGATTTGAATGCCATGCAATCAAATCTTATAATTAAATCATATTTTGCTTTCATTAGTACCATATTGACGTGTACATATGTGACTAAACATTAATTAAGATTTCGATGATAAATAAAACGAATAATTTAGAGGGAGTTTTATAAATTGGTGCATGGAGAGAGATGAAAAACTGTGTGTTCCCAAGTTGGGGATGAAGCTCAAGTGGGATATAAGAGAAATGTTTCATGTTGAGCGAACAGTGTGGCCCTTCATGTGCATGTCACAAAAAGGCAAAACCATGTGATGACATGACTTTCAATCTCTCATCTCTTTTTTATATGGTGTGGTTGTTGTGGTTCTTAATTAGTTTTGATCACATGTATTAGATGATATCCGGTTTGTCTCCGGTTTACATTCGGTTTGTGTTTTCGATTTCTCATATTTGATTTTTTTTTTTAAAAATAGATAATGTAAAGACAATTAAAATGGTTCCACGGGATTAAGCTCTTAAACCCAACATATAATATTTGAGTACAAGCTATAATCCAAAATTTGATATTTTTTGGTTGTTTATATTGTGTATAATTATGACATTAAAAATGGTTTTAGGGTATAACTAGGTAGAAAAACTGTGAAAATAATATTAGAAGAAAGATAAATTTTGGGATTTAATTAAATACATCTTACTAAATTAAGGTATGGACGTTTTTAGTTAGAGTATAGAAAACTGAATTGAATTAATCAAATTTAAATTCGAAATGAATATTAAAATAATAAAAAATTGAATTTTGCAAAATATACGATATATTTTTTTATGACAAGAGGGAATTTGTTAATTTTCTACTGTTCATACAAGGGGACAACCAATTTGTGACTGTGGAAGCTTGATTGCCTAAGCCTCACATCACATTGAAAAAAGTTTTGTACTGATATTGTTGTTTTTATTTCCCTTTATCCAATAAAACAAAACTCGAGGGTCCATATATAAAAAATTAAATAAACCCAAGTAAATACCAAAAATCACACACATATATAAACACACAATTACTTAAATTTTTATTTAAAATTTAATATGGCATCAAGATTTATCGAATTAACCAAGTTTAAATGTTATCGTGATAAGCGAATATGCAAAATATACTCTTATCCGTATTCAAATTCAAATATTGAAAAAAATATTTATCTAAATTTTCTAATTTTCTGTTAAATATAATTAGAAAAAAGTTCGATAAATTTTCGAATTATAAAAAAATTATTGGATTATAAATTTAAATAATAATTATTGGTCACAAGACTTATTTTAAAGGTTTTTGTTAGTCAAATGGCTATTTATAGTAAGTAAAAACTATATACGGTGATTTTACAAAAACTGAACATTTGTCTTAATTTGATTAGAATTGAAATATTGAATTAAGATCTTATATTTTATACTAAATCATTCCATAATTGGCTGATATTCTATCATTTAATTTGCTTCGAAGAACATCGACTACGACACGTGTCACATCCATGTCTCTGAGTAATATGGCATCTTTTCGGTCCATTAAATCAAATTTCTAGATTTCTTGTTCTCCAATTACATTATCACTACAAATCCAAAAATTATGTAACACACCCAAAAATATTAATGTTATGTCCATCCGAAATATTTTCAGAACAATAATAAGTAAATCATTAAAAATATTTGGACCAACAAAGCCACGTGTTTTCGGAAACATTAAATTCGTGGGATGTATCCCTCCACCGCTACCAATCCCCAAGTCACGTTATTAATTTTAATTTAGTAATTAAAAATATGTTTGGTTTATAACTTTATATCAGACCCGGTTGTAATCTCTTCTTCTTAATGTCGATTATATAGACTTAGACGATACATATAAATATTTCAGAATTTGTATAACATTCATTTACAAAATATTACACGTTATATATGTTTATATATATATATGGGGGGGGTGAAGTGAATATAAAAATGACAATTAAAATTAATCACAAAGAAGAATGTTACATGTTAGTCCATGTGAGTTCGAGTACTAAACGTTAGGCCTCATAGGCTCCACGATGTTTTTATGTCTATCTTCCTTCTGATTTTTTCTTTCCAAATCGATTTCATCCATACAAAAAGTAGTGTAGAAACGACACATTTAACACAATTTTCAACATACATTACGTAATTTAATATTCCCGAATTTATATATATGGGATGTATATAATAATGTAGAAACGGTATAGTTAATATAATGGAACTAATTTATTTGATTTCTTAATTCTAAATATTCTAGAACGTTTTCGTATAACGCAATAATATGAAATAGTCTTAAGGCAAAACCTTAAAAAAAACTCAACTTTTTTAATTTTGACAAAAAAATCTCAACTTTTATTTGTGAATAAAAACTAAAATTTTTAAATTGTCCAGAATAATATCTAAACTATTCGGCAAGTGTCAAATTAAACAATCGAACTGACGTGACGTACGAAAATGTAGATATGGCGTAAAAAAATTGTCACGCCACATCATCACTTTCGGCTGCCATGTCAATATTTTCATAGACCACGTCAGTTCGATTATTTAATTTGACATTAGCCAAATAGTTCAAATATTATTTTGGATCATTTAAAAAACTCAATGTTTTTCTGTTAGAAAAAATTGGGTTTTATTTTGTCAAAATTGTTTTTTTTTTTTTGGAAATTTTCCATAGTTTAATGATCATTCTTTCATAAAGACACAAAATCTAGAATTCAAGATATTGTGCTTGCAGTACAACATCTAAGTGGATTAAATTCAATTGCAATAAGATCCACTTCTTTTTCGTTAGATTTATATTATTGATTTTTTGGATAAAATACTGTCTCGTCTCAGACCTCAACTATGTTTATGATTATGTAAATCACACAATTAAGTATTATTATTATCCATAGGCTGTAATTATTTTGATATCGTGGGTTGGTTTTACGCTACGTGATTATCGTCGTAGTTTGAGCTTACGTTTTTTTTACTGGACGACGACGTAATAATTATATCAATGCATGCTATCGTATTAATTCACGGTAATTAAACTTGGTATTTGGCGTAAATTTGACAAGATGAATTTCTAAATTTAAAAAATTGTTTGGACCGACAAAATACTTAATGATGTTTTAAGCACACTTCACCTACTTGGCTTTACTCACATACGTTAAGGAATTATTCACATTAATTAAACTAATTGGTCAATCTATCAATTAATATCGTTAGATAATTGTTTTGACTCGTGCACCGACCTCCCTTTACCAAGTTAAATGTAAAACTTTTAATAATAATAATAATAATAATAATTATAATAAGAATAAGAATTACGGTGTATGTAATGTAGAATGAATACATTTTTTTTTTATAACAGAGGATCCCTAACTGCTACCATTCGGGTGCGCTGACTAAGTAAACCTCCGCATCGGGAGCAACCTTTATATATGGATAATAAAACCCAACCTTTGTATATAGAATGAGTACATTTATTTTGGTCTTTGGACAAAAGTTACCACGACCACCGAAAATACATACATTTATATGTGCAATATGTACGTCAAAAAGAAACTCAGCTTCATTCGTCGGCCCAAAATCTCAGTTACAATTGGAATTTGTAGCTCGTTACAAATATAAAAAAGCCCAAACGTAGTCATGGAGCCCATATACGAATGTAAATGGGCCTAAATTTAGAACTTGGGCCAGCTCGGTACATCGCTTCCGGTCTAGGATTTTTTTTTTGTGCAAACCGGATCACGTTTCCGGTTAACAACTTATAGGCCCAAACCGGTCCATGCGTACGAATCGATAGATCTCAAGAATTCAATGCGCATATATTTACGTACGTCGGTACGTGTGCACGTGTGTAATCAGCATGCATTTAACTGGCAGAAAATAAAAAGAAAAAGATCAACAAGAGTTATTTTTTTTTGGTAAAGTTAAATGCATTAATAATCAACAAGAATTTTCGTTTGCTCTTCATTAATGAGATTAATTTCTGTATATTTATTTACTCTCATATTGTCCGTACGGAATGTCCATCCACAAAATATTACAATGTAGATTATGAGATATATGATTTTTTTTTCTTATGAAAACATTGTACTTTTAGAATCCGAGAATTTCGAACTTCGATTATTGAAAAGAAAAATTATAAAACTTTTACGTATAAAAAGATTAATCAAATCGAAAATTCCGACATTTGGAAATAAATAGTTGTGGGCAGTGAGTGTGGACACGAAGTGCGTGCAACTTTGACTGTTGCTTTGCCCCCGAAGGCCCCATCTCAATGCGAATTATAAAAACAAATTAATGTCGGGTCCAATTTAAATAAGATAAATATTATACAAAAATCCCAAGGAAAAAGGCATATAAAAAAGTGAGAATAGAAGATAGAAAAAAAAAAATCCAAGAAGGCAAGGACATGGATATGAATTGGAGATGTCAGAAAAAGGGTGGACCCTCCTTCTGAGGCAGAGGCATAGCAAGAGTCCACATCTCAACAGTCTCTCCCACCTCCATCGTTATCACTACCCCTGCATCAATAGTACACACCACCCCAATCATACACACACATATACGCATATATATGCATACATATATATATATATATATATGTGTGTGTGTGTGTGTGTGTGTATCTACAACACTCGAGAATCTAAGAACAAAACCTAAGATCCAAGGCATTGATTTGTCATTCCATCATATCATAAGGTTTTTCTAAATCAATCTTTCACGGCTTCTTTGTTCTCTACTATTTGGTAATGTCAAAAGGAATAACCCTTATTTTAATTTTTTTTTATAAAATATATAAGATGTTGGTTATTATTTATTAACTTTTTATGATATAGAGTTTTATCATTTGATTGCCTCGGAAACTCATAACACCGAGTCGGGTCAACTTTTGTATTTTGCTATTGATTTTGGAACCGATTAAATTTCTATAAATAATATTTGGGTAAATGATTTATTTCTATATTTGAGAAATTGGCATCTTTTCTTTTCTAATAACATAATAATCATTTTAAGTCGGAGATATATATATAATGACATTTCAAAAATACAAGATGTCACTCGTACATGCGTGTAATTTTGCTTCATCATTATACCAAAAGATATGATCTGAAAAACAAAACCTTTATTATAAAATAGGAATTAAGATTGTAATTAATTAGTTCATGTTCCAAAGAACTCTTATCATTATATACACATATATATAATATAAGGCTAAAGTATTTTTTTTATAGGATTCATTGATTCGATTCATATATATATATATATATATATATATATAACACAGTGGACAACTGAGCTGTGGCAGAGAGTGGGACATTGAGGGTCTTTCTGATGCCGGTTCATATTCAAAAACATATCTCAAAATCTTGTTGTGATAATAATTACATGAACACTTCTCCATCAAATTCATAAAACATTTCAGCTTTTCTGCAACTTTTTTTTTGCTTTATTTTATTTTAATTACAGATCGTCGTGTACTATATATAATAAAATATAAAATCTTGTAATAACCCTTTCATGTGGGACTTTGGAGAAAAAGCAGATTATAAAGAAGCTTTGGTCCTTATCTTAAAAAGACACAAGAGCAAACCACATGCAAATGAATTAAAAAAGGCAAGGGACACAACATAACAGATCGATTAAAAAGGAGCTTCAAAGTTGGTGACTTTGGTTTGTTTTTCCATGTAATTATTGAGATCCAAGTACACATATAAATAATTAATAAAAATACAAATAAATAAATAAAACTCATATGTACCCTTTTTTTTTATCAGTTCAAATATTAACACAGAAATATCCCAAATTATTTCACCAATCTTGCTTTGATAATATTAACAAATATTACTCTTAAATTTTCTCGGGAAAATTATATGAATATATTGTTTTACCTTAAATTAAATCCATGGAGGAATAATATGGATATGTTTTGGTTGGATTTTGTTACGATTATTTTTAGTTTCGAGTTTTTTTTGTTAAAATTATATATATATATATATATATATATATATATATATATATATATATATTGGTTTTGTGTTGGGACCTTTCGATTCAAGCTTTCTTTGAATTAAATTCAATTTCAGTTTTACGTTATAAAAAAATATTAATTTTGAAAGAGATTTGTTTTAATAATTTTTATATCCGTATGAAATTCATTAAATCCATTTGAAAAAATGCATGTCCGTTTTTTTAATTGAATTTGATTAAGATATGAATTGATATTCGAAATAACGATTTCTAGTAAATGGTTTTCAGAAAGAGCGGAAAAATAGGCCAAGGAAAATTATAACCCATTATACAACAAATATATAGTATCTTCTCATATCACATAATCTTCTTCTGCAAAAACCATGAGAATCTCCAACACTCAAAGCTTCAATATCTACACCTATTTCACATCATCATCATCATCATCATCATTATCGATCCATTGTCCATAGAATCCATAATAAAGTCCGGAGAAAAATTACATTACTGTTAGAACCTGAGAATCCAAGGAAGAATCAAACCAGAGATTCCATAACCCAAACCCTGCAATTCAAAGCAAAGCTTCAAATCCTATGGTTTTGAAGCTGCAAAAGCCTCGAATACGCTCCCTCGGGCCGGCTAACGAGCTCGGAGTGGCTGCCTTGCTCGACGATCCTCCCGTCTTGGATCACGCCGATGCAATCTACCCCTCTTATCGTGGAGAGTCGGTGAGCCACTACCACAGTGGTCCGGCCCCTCATGAGCCTCTCTAGAGCCTCTTGTAGCACGCATTCCGACTCTGCGTCCAACGCACTCGTTGCCTCGTCTAGTAGCAAGACTGTAGGGTTCTTGAGCACGGCTCTTGCAATAGCGATCCTCTGTTTCTGCCCACCAGATAACTGTACTCCTCTTTCGCCCACCGGAGTTTTGTAACCGTCGGGTAATCCGCTGATGAAACCGTGAGCGTTGGCTGCTCGTGCTGCTTCAATGACCTCGGCTTCTGTTGCTCCGTCCTTCCCATATGCGATGTTGTCAAAGATGGTTGCTGCGAACAGGGCAGGTTCTTGTTGGACTAGACCTATCTTGAGCCTCAGAGACTTGAGGTTTAGCCTCCGGATATCTTTCCCGTCGATCATCACTTTCCCGGCTAGAGGGTCGTAGAAACGCTCTATCAATGCAATCACGGAACTTTTCCCTGACCCGCTTGCCCCAACAAGTGCCTGACTCTGCCCAGCTCGGATCCTGAGGTTGAAGTCTTTGAACACCATCACGTCAGGCCTTGACGGGTAAGCAAAGTCGACATGTCTGAATTCGATTTCTCCACGGATTGTCTCAACCGGGTCAGCATCGGGATCATCAGGGTCAATCCTGGTTTGCCGGTCTAAGATAGAGAAAACCGAACCTACTGCTTCACCTCCGCGGATGATTTCAGGAGCAAGACTGACGGTTTCAGCAACCGAGTTTGCAGTGATGACCAAAACAACAAACACCTTGATCACTTTGGAGAAGGTCGAGGCCCCTTTGCCCACGAGGTGGGCACCGTACCAGAGGATAAGAGCCTCGGATCCATAGAGAGCAAGCTGGGAGAGGCCGAAGAGGAAACCCGAGGTTTGGCTACGACGCAGGCTTCTTTTCTGAGGGACATGAAGCTCATGACAGAACAAAGACAGGATCTTGTCCTGAGCATTGAAAGCTGCAACGGTTCTAATGTTGCTGACTCCTTCACCTGCTATCATTGAAGTCTTTGCATGAGCCTTGGCCGTGTCTCCGGCAAATCCTTTGAGAGATAGTTGCTGCGAAATGCCGTCAAATTCATAGTTAAGCACATCAATTTCGATGATTAAGCTAAGAATAACTGACGAATCATACGGGCAGTCATAGAAACGAATCAGTTCCACTCTACAAGTCCCGGTTCAAAGATTGCACTAGAAATCTAAACTCTATTTTAAATATTGTTCTTTTTCACTCAACTAAGTGATGTATTTTGAGGTACAGACAAGTTTACATGATGTTCAACAAATGATAAGCAGGTTTTTTACTTCTAGCAACAATGTCTAAGCAATGTATATGTGAATATGTTATATACATACATATGTTTTATATGTGTACAAGTTTCTCTTCAACAAATAATTAAATCACGGGTGAGGAATCTTGTGGAAATTCTGAAAATGGTTGGTGTTATCTTATAGCTAGGTCTGAAGCTGCAGCTAGTAAAACAAAATTTATCAGAGCCTATGTACCAAACACTGAAACAAGAAAAAGAGGTGGAAAAAACACACACACAGATCAATTATAAAAGCTGGGTTGTTGAAATCGGACAGGAAGAACTGACACACACTGTATCAGAGTAACAGACAAAAACTTGTCTGTATCAAGTAAAGAAATGAATGAGTGAGAGAACCAATACAGTTCATCTTTGACTAAGAAAGCCAAACAAGATGGAGAAAAAGAAATATTTTTCCTTTAAACCTAGAGATTCTTGGATAAAAACAATTCATTCTTTTTACTGGTGAGTGCACATGAGAATTTATTGTAAATTCATGAGCGAATTAGCTTGCAAAATATGTTTAGAATTTAATAATAACAGAGCTGGTCAGATTCAGAGAGGAAGTAAATATGAAAGCTTAAAGTAGAAAACTTTACCACAATGGAAGCAAAGAACAGATATGGGTAAAGGACAGAGGAATCTTAGCTATATTCATGAACACTGTTATCTATGGCCTTCAGTACCAAGGCAATAAAGTATCCTACACAGTAGCCCAGAAATTAAAGAATTCTGTTCTTCACACTTATTGATATAGGTTTCCATGATCTTGACCTTTACACAGATTTCGAAAACAAAGTTCATTATTTTTTTTATGATTCATTGAAAAATTAAATGCACTGGAACTGAAGGGGAGCACGTGCAGAAGCAGAGATGTGTTGAAAGTTTTAATTTTTTTTCTGAAAAAAAAAATGGGCTTTGTCGTTTTATCTGGAGATCATAATGGCGAAGGCAAGATTCCAGAGATCCAAATCAGATGCAGAAAATTCAAAAGCAAAGACTCCTTTTTTTAAATTCATTATACTAATATTCATATTCATAGTTCTGGGTTTGATATCTACTTGAATAACTCTTTTAGAATTCTTTAGAATGTAATCATTGGGGATAGAGAAGTAGATGGCGGGTTGTAATCGTTATGGAAAATGAAAAAACGTTATAAATTTGGAGATTTTAAGGAATAAAATTGAAGTACCTGAGCAAAGTTGGCGAGGACTAGAAGAGGGAATGTAGCCAGGATGAGAAGAGAAACTCTCCATTCCACTATGAAAGCGACAATGAAGGATGTGAGAAGTGAAGTCATGTTCTGCAGAATCACCGAGATTCTCTCGGCCATTGCAGATTTCACGTCGGCTGCATCCGTGGCCAACCGGGCAGCAACAAGGCTCGAGTTGTGTTCCTCCTCATCAAACCATCCTACCTCGTTCCTCAGAATGGCTAGAACAAACAAGAAACAATTCAGGTGAAAAGCTCAATGCAAGAATCAAGGTACAGAGTATAACCCGGAAAAAGTGTTCAAGAAATTTTGAGTATAACGATGAAATGCAATACCTGATAGCATCATTCTTCTAACTCTTGTGGTGAGGTTTTCTCCCATAATGCTGAAGAAGTAATGTTGGATCAAATATGCAACCACGGCATAGAGACCAGCACCGATGTAAATGAAAACATACTCCTTAGTCTTTCTTTCCATGGAATCATAGTTTCTGTAATAGAACACCTCAATCATATTGCTCATCACAATAGCAAAGGTTGGACCGATGAAACCAGAAAGGACTGAACCAACAGCTCCCATGATCGAGTAAGGCCATTCCGGGGCATTTAGCTTGAGAAGCCGGCAGAAGTAGCCATCTGGTGCACGAGTTTTTCTGTCCGATTCGGCGTTCGAAACCATCTCAATCCGGCCATCAGCTCCTGTGCTGTAAGAATAGCTCAGATTTCTCAGACTTCCTGATCTAAGGCTGAGTGATTTCGTGGAGAGGGAGAAGCTCAAACGGGTTGAGCGGGATCGACGTGTTGACGGGTTTGACAAATCTCGGGTGCCCACCATTTCTTGAAATCTGATGAGAGAAGCATATGCTCCAGCCTTTGCAATGAGTTCTTCATGGGTGCCAGTTTCAACGACTTGTCCTTGTTGTATAACCGCGATTGAATCAACGTTCCTTATGGTGCAAAGGCGATGAGCAACCACAACAGTGGTTCTACCCACCATGAGCCGATCTAATGCTTCCTGAACAATGCTTTCAGAGCCAGCATCCAGAGCACTGGTGGCTTCATCTAGAAGTAGAATCTTTGGGTCTTTCAACATTGCCCTAGCGATTGCGATTCTCTGTTTCTGACCACCTGATAGTTGAATGCCTCGTTCTCCAACCTGGTTTTGAAGAAATCCAATTAAAATCGTTTACATTTCCTTGTACAGATATCAAATATCAGTAGTCCGTTCATATTGATGATACCTGAGTGTTGTAGCCATTGGGAAGTAAGGTAATGAAGCTGTGTGCATTTGCAGCAGAAGCAGCAGCTTCAACCTCAGCCATTGTAGCATCAGGCTTTCCATAGAGTATGTTCTCGAGTATCGTGGTAGCAAAGAGAGCTGGTTCTTGATTCACAAGCCCGATCTGATCACGCAGAAATTTCAATTGAAGAGTCTTTATATCGACACTGTCCAGTAAAATTTGCCCTGCACAGAAAGAAAAGACTTAGTTACGAAATAATCACAGTACACATAGCTTTCGAATAAGAAAATTTCTTGATCAATTACCGTTGTTAGGGTCATAGAATCTTTCGATGAGGGAGACAACAGTACTCTTGCCAGAACCGCTGCCGCCAACCACAGCCACAGTCTTCCCAGCAGGGAAGAAAATAGAGAAATTCCTGAATATGATAACATCAGGCCTTGAAGGATAGCTAAAGGTTACATCTTTGAACTCGATATTCCCACGAACTTCATCCAAGCATTTCCCGTCCAACGGGTCTTGGATTATCGAGGGCCTTTGGTTGATTATCTCCATCAATTTGTAACCAGCCGCCTTTCCTTTGCTAAAAGCCCCGAGATTCGAGAAAGATTGCCCCAAGCTCCTATATAACAACAAAAGATTCAAAAACAAATTCATCACACCAAAACAGAGATATCTCAACAATGGCGGATTCAGTTTGTGTAGCTCTTACATTCCACCAACAATGGCGGAAAATATGGCAGTGAATGCCTTCCCTCCATCAGTCTGTCCATTCCTGATGAATACCCCGGCGTACCAAAACACAAGAGCCCACGACATACATGCTATCCCATATGTGCATCCCAAACCCAAGCCTTTCGCCATTCCGGCCTTATACCCGAGCTTCAGCGTGTATTGGATCGCATCGGAGTATAAACTCAGGGCCTTGCTCTCCCCGACATACGAGTAGACAGTTCGTACTTGAGCAATTGCCTGTATACATCATTCAGACAACATTAACACCCAGAAATCCCCCACCCTCCTCCAATCATGAACATTGATTTGTTTTTACAAAAAAAAAGTTTGATCCGAAAAGGTGACATTAAAGGCAAATCGATGAACAATCATTGCTTAAGATCTTGGATTCAATGAGAAGTTAATAAATCATCATCACTTGTGGGCAATCAAGACCAAAATAGTGTTCACAATAAGTACAAAGACAAGCACGAGACCGTACAAAAGAAAAAAAAAAAAAAGACATTATATCGAACACTTGGTGCACAAGCAAGAATCAGAAAAACCAAATGATTCAAGACGTATTCACGCCATTTTTTACCTGCTCGGCGATAACGCCGGCGTTGGCATACGATTCTCGGCTCTTTGACGTGATTCCGGTGAGAGTATAAGCGTACAAACCGCCGGCGAAAGCGATTCCGGGTATCACCGCAACGCTCAACAAAGCCAATCTCCATGCGGACACAAAACCGACCACTAATCCCGCCAGAAATGTTGACAAGTAGTGTATGAAATTGCCAACCTGAGGAGATTAAACAGAGAATTTATGATCGAAACCTAAAAATGGTTCAAATCTTTTCACCTACCCAGATTTCTATAACACCTAAAATTACACACCCCAGATCAAAAAAAGAATGTTTACGCCTTAATTAAACACCTAGATCAAAAAAAGAATGCTTATCTCCTCGCGGGACCTGCTTTACTAGTTCATGCCTACTAACGTGCGCCAAAGGCGGAGAGCGAAGAGTCTCCAAGAGGAGGCGCACGTTAGCTTAAGTACTAACGTGCACGGCTGAGAGCTCCGGTGATTTAGATCGATCAAAGAACAAATGGGTCCCGCGATTAAATCAAAATACTAGATTTTGACGGTCCTGTCTGGATTCCAGACAGCGATACACTCATGAACGGGTATCAGAAAATTATCAAACCAGAAAAGGTAAGTTATCACCTTCTCGCTAATGGCGTCTTGGACAAGGAGAGTGTCTGTGGAGACACTGAAGACGATATCTCCGGTTCTTGCATCGGTGTCGAAGAATCCGACATCTTGTTTCAGAACAGCTTCGAGGTACTTCTTCCTCAGGGTACCTACTTGCCTTTCTCCGGTGTACATCCAACATGCAATCTCTGTTTTTTAAAAAATTATTATCAACAAGAAATATCAAGATTTTCAGGGGGGAAAAGATTTAACAATCAAGGATGAAGCATAATAAATGTGAGAGAGATGCCGAATGATGAAGGCTGAGAAGAAACGGACAAAGTAGCAGTCCATGGATCACGTGGACTCCGTTTATCCTTTAACTTTTGAAATTAAATTAAACGAGAGAAAAATAAAAAAATAAAATTTTGCCCGTCGGATCGATCTAAGTTGAATTTCATATTGTTTTTGCCGATTTGTAGCATTTAGTTTTTTTTTTCTTTTTCTGGTAATAGACTGAAGAGCAAAGGTGAAATTTTTTGGGGGAGTAGAGAAATTTTCAGACCTGCGTATGAAGAGAAGCATACCACAAGACCCAGGTAGACAAAATACAGAGCATACTGCAATTTCAGACAAAAACAAGAACTCTGAGTCAATTCTTGGACGCTACTGGTAATGAAACAGAATCAGAGGTTGGATCTAAAGTCGATTACTTTGGAGACTTCGTTGGTCATCTTTTGCAAATCCATCTGGTTTTTGCCGAATCCATTGACCATTTCACCAAAGAGCAAGAAGAAGACGGGCATGGAGGAGCCATGAACAATGGCGCCTAAAGAACCAGTGATCATCAAGAGATAATCATATCTGTCGGCGAAAGAGAAGAGCTTGAAGAAGGGCAAGCTCTGTTCCTTCTTCTTCTCCGCCTCCGGCGTCGGAACCGCCTTCGCCTCTGCCGCCGGCGCCGCCATCGTCTCCGCCATATTTACGGACAGAACTCAGAGAGGAATGGTGTAAAGGAAGCGAAGAAAAGAAAGAAGACCCCAGTAATAGAGACTCGAGACGAATTAACTCAGGGAGAAAACGGGACCATCACCATTGACGGAGAGATCCGAGCTAAGAGAGAGAAAGAGAGAGGTAATGAGAGGAGGAAAGAGTAATGCTTTTAAGGTCTCGAAAAACTGACAATGTGTTTGTGAGTTCGAGAACTTTAGCTTTAGGTTAGTGTTTTTTTAGTTGTTGTCCGAAGTGATAAAAAAAAATGGCAGAGAGAGAGAGAGAGAGTGAGAGAAGAGAAGCAGGCAATGTGCGTATATATAGAGAGGTGTTTGAGACCAGTGGTCAAAGACCCGAAGAAAATTGTGAAAACGAGAGAGAGAGATTCACGTTCATGGAGTTGGAGGGGACAGTAAATTATACTAAAATATAATTTTTGATTTTTTTTGACAGCTGTTAAAAGTAAATCATTTTTACAAATATTAAAAATTTATTCGGGGTGCAAAAAGAACTTCTTGAAGTCTTTCACCATAATGATAGTATATATTTCAATTGAATCATAATATTTGACTTTCTAATAATGTTTTGACACATAGTTGAATTCCAATTCGTAGATTTTTTTCAGGGAAAATTCAATATTACCCCGCGAGTTTTATTAATGTTTTTAATTCTTATATCCATTTTTAATTTTACAAAAACTTATATAGATATTCAAAATTTTTCAAAATTCTACATTAAATCGCAAAATATGTTGTAATTTCTCACATAACCATAGGATTTCGATTTGTTTTGACTTTAAAGATTTCCGTTTAAGGATTTAGTGATTTAAGCGATTTTGGTTTAGAAAATTTAAATGATTTTTGTTTTAGGTAAAAGAATTTTGGTATAATTATGTAGGACATTGCAACATATTTTTGTGATTTGGTTTGGTGTGAGATTTTAAAAAATTTTAAATTTATGTGTAAATTTTTATCAAATTAAAGATTGATGTATGAATTGAAAATGTTAACAAAAAATTTTAAGGAATATGAGATTTTCTCATTTTCTTGTAAAGACATGCATGTGATAAAATGACTAGTGCACTATTTTCCAATTATTCTTTTGATTCGATCTCGAAACACAGCAAAATATCGGAAACATGTGATCAAATATATTTATTATAAATCGTTATTGTGATATTTAAAAATTTTAAACCTATTTTTATAGTACACAAATTAATATTTGCTATGACTAAAATAATTAAAAAAAATCAATTCAAATGCCACAAATTTTTATTTAACGAGCTTGGAAAAGCATGATATGGCATATTGATATTATACAAATAAACTATTTTATATCATAACCATATATGATAAATTTTAAATTCCCAATAAAACATAAAATTCCAAGACTACCTTACCGCAACAACCATACCAAACGTATTGAAATATTTCTTTTTTTTGCATGGTTATTATTAGGCTCTAATCACAATACAAATGCAAAGGTTTCCGCGACATGAATTTCAAGTCATAGTTTATTTGCATGTTTCCAATTCACATAAGTTTTAGTTTCTTTTATCAAATATATCATACAAATAGACAAAAAGGAAAACTACAAGAAACTAGAGTTTTTTTGAAACGATCGAATTATATTGGATTATTTTTTTTTTAAGAAAAACCAAAGAATTATTGAAATATATAAGAATTGAAAAACATGCACGCATATATACATATATATAGAATTACAGCGTACTCGAAGTGACATAGATTCGGTTGTGAAGATTTCAGCAAGCCATGTGAAGTAGTTGTGTCCTTTTGCGTTTCTCTGGTGTATACAAATACCACATCACGCTGTTAAGTCTGTTTTGTTTTCCATTAGGTATGCTTGTGTGTGTGTGTGTGTGTGTGTATACGTAAATACATGCAATCACGTATACAACTCGAGAAAAATACGTATAATTCGTAGTGGAAAACGGGCTTGCCAATAGCAGTGTATGCACAATACATAACGGTTGTAGTGAGCCATATTCTTCTTCTGATATAATCCCATATTCAAAAAAGAAAAAAAAATCTCGTCACCTTGGATTCGCTCATATGATTTACGGCGGATATGGACTGACTTGATATGTTCATTAACTTGTGTCGTAAGGATTTTAAATTTGCTGACATTACCATCTAAAATGTGTTTTTCTTTTATTTTTGAAATTGTAATCATTTTTTGTGAATTTTATATAATAACGTTATTATTTTTTGCTTGAATAAACGTATCTCGAGTAAGCATTTGTTCATAATGTATCCCAAAGCTTGAAAACATTATACAACTTTTTTTTTTATAATTTTCATCAAAATAGTGGTATTATATGTTACTATATGCAAATTTAAATTTAAAATTTTGTCATACATAATAGTATATTTATTAAATATTTAATGATAAGGAGATACGTTTGAATGAGATTAATATTGTATGAATGTTTAATAGTAAGTAACCAATGGTTTCTCGGAATATAAAAGGGGACAAGCAAATTGGGGAACTTGCCATGTTAGTGGTAGGTAAGGAGGCATAATCAATTACAAATCATCTTTTCATTTTATTTTATTTTTATTGTAAATTTAATCTTGTTATGATTATGATGATAATTAATGTGTGGCATACCGATGAATACTGTATACGGATATTGAAATTTTTGAAATGCATAAACGCTTTGCCCTTTCGCCTATAACAATATTTTGTAATTATTTTATGCAATTGTGTTTTTACATTTTTTGGTAAACTTTATTTTATTATAATGAAAATCATAGTTTTATTTACTGATTCTTTCTTAAAAGATGCTTAATCGACGTTTCAAACAGACGTGCAATCGATGTGGCTATTCATATTGCCAAAAAAAAAATTATTTTTTGGGAACGAAACTAAAGAACATGTCGAGTAATGATCCTTCAAAGCTATAAATAATTGTGGTCGTAATTAACGTCGTAAAACATGTGTATCCAACACTCTTATTTGCAATCTTAACTACCAAATAGCCCCCGACAATCAATAAACTATTAGATTAAGTATTTGACAAAAAAAAACATATTAGATTAAGTAAATATTTTATTAATAAAAATACATATTTTCTTTCATTTACTAATACCACGCACATATATAATTCGATTTATACAATTTGACGAGGACTTCGATTTATAATTGTATGTGATCTAAAAAATCAATTTTAATGTGATGCATTTTAAATCAAATTAATAGAATATAAACAAACAATATAAATATAAATAATATAAAAATAAGTTAAAAAATTGTAAAAAATAAATTTTAATGAAACAATTAATAAAATTAAAAGTGGGAAAATTATAATTTTTTGAAAAAAAAAATCAAATATACATTGCTATTAACCTCTCTTCTACATGTATTGTGTAAATTAGGAGGAGCAAATAAATTCATTTTAGTGCATAACATATATATTCATATAACGTCAAAACGTGTGATATCGTTACTCTAAAAAAATCGTTATAGATAAAAAAAAATGCGTTATTTGACAAAAAAATGCGTTAATTTGAATTATGTTAAAGGTAAATAATCGAACAGCACCACCAAGAACTAGAATTATGGTCGGCTTTTGTCTTTTAGACCCCCAATTTGTAACTTCTTCTAAGCTTCCTCATTGACACTCTAATACGAAGATTAATATACGTAATTATCCTTGTGAAAATAAAATTATTAATAAAAATTTTAACCAAAAGCTTGTAGCGGCTAGTTGCTGCTTATTAAAAGCAATATATAAATAATAAATTATAATTACGTAAAAGATTAAATAAGCGGATCTGGTTGTGCTGCAGCCCCTTTCTCGAACAAAGCATCTACATTGTATATATAATAATGTATTCGATTTAATTATTAATACTCTTATTATTATTATTATTATTATTATTAAAATATGGGCTGTGGCGATCTTGGGGCATGTGATATGCTGCAAAAAGTTGTGGTCTACGGGGCACTTTAATTAGAATTTTCTGATTTTCATGTAACAAAATTAGATTCTATGTTTTTATTAATTTCACAAATCATCATATCATAAAATGATAACTGTATAAAAAAAATATAATCGGTGAATGTTAAATGTTAAACAATTGCTACCACAGATTTCAATATGAACCCCTAAGTATATATATCAAATCTAATTATGCATTACAAAAGTCTATAAAAACACTTTACCAAAAAAAAAAGTCTATAAAAACAATAAAATCCAATGTGCGTTGGAATTTCTAAAATGATTTATGTGTGTATATCACCTTTTTAGATGGGCATAATTCACTTTCCCTTTAAAAAAAATTAACAATTATTTATGAGTTGTTTTGGTGCGTTTATCACTTTTTTTTTGAATTACACACATTTGTTGAATATATTATATGCATAAAAGTATACATTATGCTTTTATTTTATTCCGCTTTTTTTCCGAACTATTAGGATTTGGACCTACAACCCTTTATTTTCTAACAAAAGGAGGACTCACCCTACATTAAAATAAATATTTAAAATGTATTTTAGATATATATATATATATATATATATATATATTGAAGTTAGAATTATAAAACTCTCAAATTTGAGCCCGACCAGTCAGGCCCAAGAGGGTCCAAAACCAACACCAAAGTCGAACCCATCTATGTGCCCATGTTACATGTCATAGGCCACATACGTACGCTATACGGTATTCGATCTGATATGATATGACCGTAGAATCATATATCTAGACGCGTTCCACACGTTCAAAATAAATAAATAAAATTCATTAGAAACATACCATTTTTAAATTATATATTATCAAAATAATTTCGGTATGATTCATATTTTTAACTTATATGTATAATGAGATTAGTTGAAAAACATACCGTATTGAAATTAAGCCCTATCAAATAATTTCTCTTAAATTCGTATTTTTAATGTGGAAAAAACAAGAATATCAATATTAAATCCTAGAAAAATCGTATATTAATACCTAAATTTTTACAAAAATTTCAGATAAATATCTAAACTATAAAATTTTTATATAAATGTCTGAATTTTTTTTAAATCCTATATAAATAACTAGATTTTTTAAAAAATCTCAAATAAACCCCAAATCACTTAATGACATCATCTATTTTTATTTGAAAAATACCTGAAATTTGTATCTATTTGAAAAAAATTTCAAAAGTCTAGATATTTATATAAAATTTTTAAAAATTCAAATATTTATATAAATATTTTATAGTTCAAATATTTATTTAGGATTTTTATAAAAGTTTAGATATTTATATGTTATTTTCTCCCAATCCTATAAAGGTAATCTATCGACTAATATGGATATATATATATATCTTGCATTATTATGAGTTTTGATTAATCCTATAATCATTATAACAACTTGAAGTCGGCACTCCTGCTTCTCTTTGAACTTTGGATACTATTATTGGGAATGCAATTATCTTTAGAACACAATAAATAAATAAATAACCACGGCACATAAAATTTTTAAAATTCATTTTATTTTACATTTATTTTTTTTTATCGTTAAGTTTTATATTTTTGGGTTATTGAAGTTAATCCGTGACTGAAATAATATATAAATTTCATTCAATAACTAGTTTAAAATTGTAACTATTTAATAATCGTTACATAGACACTATTCTTCAACATAAAAAAAAATCTGAATATTTATTTCGACAAGAAATAATTATGAGAATGAAAAACACTGTGTTTTAAGACTGTTAAGTATAATTTTTCTAAAATACTTTATGTAAAGGTAAAGGCCCTTTTAAAAATGGTAAATGATGATATGCTAAAAAGGGATAATGACCCGATGCACTTGAGACCGTAACATGTCTTCCATCTTTTGTTGCAGCTTAAGCTTTATATTATATATACCAAACTTTACACTCCTTGATAATCATCCTCATGGCCGCAAAGTTATATACCAACCGAAACACACGCAAAAGGAAAAGAAAAAGAAAAAAAAGGAATTATGGGGGGAGTGTATACACACACACACACACACACATATATATATATATATATATATATATATATATGTGCGTGTGAATTATGTTTACATGCACATGCGACTTGAATAGACGAGGGGTTTCAATTGTAGAATAGCAGCTATTATAACATGTAAATAGAATATTTATAATTTTTTTTGGGTCCGTCACTAATTAAAACGTACATTGTAATTCTAAAATTACATTCTAGTCTGTAATAAATTATGAAAAAATTACTAATTTCTCAACTACACAAATGTGCTGGTGACATTCTAAATATCATCGTTTGGGAGGACTTGGACTGCATATTTCATTACTTCAGGCAATTTCATAATGTTCAAATGGGAAATGAGCTACAAATTTTTTTTAATTAAAAAAAAAGATAATCGGAAATGAGCTTAAATTAAAATTTAAAATAGGCTTCAATTAAAAAACCATAAATGGTTATACCAAAAAAAAAAATCATAAATGGGCTTGAATGAAAATTCTATAATGGGCCGGAAGCGAGCTTTTCGAAACCCATATATTCCTTTTTTTTTTCATAACCTACTTTATGTTTTGCCACACTTTTCTCCGGACTCGAGAAAGTCTCATAAATTTATAAAATTCTCTATGGCCGAACGATTTAATATCTATCGATTGGCATTTATTTTATTTACAAGTTTCGAATTTTCGATCGCATGCATAAGATTCGGACTCTAAATCTCATGGTTAATAATATGGGTAGATAAAATTGAATTATAACATGGTAGAGTGCCAAAAAAGTATCCATATAGGGAAAG